AACAAAAGGTTTGCTGTAACTGTTTATAAAGTTAGAGTTGGAGTTTGGCTTCAGTTTGTTAGTGTATTTAACTCTGCTAGTACAGCTAGTGTTCCCCTTCCCCCCCCAGATTAACAATGCTGCTGTCCAAAGGTGCCCCTGTGCTTATTCATTCAAAGTGGGGGCACTATAATACAGAAGGTGTGTTACTGGCCAGATCATCAGGTGAAAACAGAGGGTAAAAAAGACTAAAAAAAAAAACTAATGCAGCTACCACATCTAATGATTGGTGAGCTGCAATATACTACATTTTTGGTTTTAATACTACTAATTCCTCATGCACATGGGCGTATTAAAAACTCCTATGTACGCTGGATATTTCTGCCAGGAGAAATATCCGGCATAAAAAAAAAAGCTTGTTTTGGCACGCAATTATGCACAGTTACAGGCATATGCTTGTAAACTCATTCTACTGCCTATTTATTATAGCCACTAGACTGTATTTAGACACATACGCTATATTCCCCAAAATTTTGGGACACCTCTCCAAATCATTTGATTTAGGTGTTCCAATCGCCTCCATGGCCAGAGGTGTATAAAAACAAGCACCTAGGCATGCAGACTGCTTCTACAAACATTTGTGAAAGAATGGGTCACTCTCAGGAGCTCAGTGAATTTAAGCGTGGTACCTTGAAAAATCGCCAACTGTGCAGTAAGTCCATCTGTGAAATTTCCTTGCTACTAAATATTCCACGGTCAACTGTTAGTGGTATTATAACAAGGTGGAAACAACTGGGAACAACAGCAACTCAGCCACAAAGTGGTAGACCATGTAAAGTGACAGAGTGGGGTTAGCACATGCTGAAGTGCACAGAAGTCGCAAACTGTCTGCAGAGTCAATAGCTAAAGACCTCCAAACTTCGTATGGCCTTCAGATTGGCACAACAGTGCATATAGAGCTTCATGGAATGGGTTTCCATGGCTGAGCAGCTGCATCCTAGCCTTACATCACCAAGTGCAATGCAAAGCTTCGGATGTAATGGTGTAAAGCACTGCACTGCTGGCCTCTAAAGCAGTGGAGACGTGCTCTCTGGAGTGACGAATCATGCTTCTCTGTCTGGCAATCCGATGGTGTAAAGTTTGGTGGAGGGGGCATTATGGTGTGGGGTTGTTTTTCAGGGGTTGGGCTTGGCCCCTTAGTTCCAGTGAAGGGAACTCTTAAGGCGTCAGCATACATTTTGGACAATTTCATGCTCCCAACTTTATGGGAACAGTTTGGGGATGCCTCCTTCCTGTTTCAACATGACTGCGCACCAGTGCACAAAGCAAGGTCCATAAAAACATGGATGAGTGAGTTTGGGGTGGAGGAACTTGACTGGCCTGCACAGAGTCCTGAACTCAACCCGATAAAATGCCTTTGAGATGAATTAGAGTGGAGACTGCGAGCCAGGCCTTCTCGTCCGACAGTTCCTGACCTCACAAATGCGCTTCTGGAAGAATGGTCAAACATTCCCATAGACACACTCCTAAACCTTGTGGACAGCCTTCCCAGAAGAGTTGAAGCTGTTATAGCTACAAAGGGTGGGCTAACTCAATATTGAACCCTACGGACTAACTCTGGGATGCCATTAAAGTTCATGTGCATGTAAAGGCAGGTGTCCCAATACTTTTTGCAATATAGTGTATATCATTGCCAGTAAGCTCCTCTCTTAACTCATGTTTGTGTTTTTTTTTCTTATGGCCTTGTAAATATGAAACTACATGCAATGATGTGCTTAAAACACCTCAGCTCACAACATCAGTCTCCTCACGCATCACTAATTTACTGACCAACATATCAGTCTGGATGTCACACCACTTCTTCAAACTCAACCTGTCCAAAACCCAGCTCTTGATATTTCCTCCCTCATGTGCCTCTTCCCCTGACTTCTCTGTCAAGATCATGGACTCAACTATTAACCCGCCCCAGCACTCCAGGGTTCTAGGTGTAATCCTGGACTCTGAACTCTCCTTTTGGCACTAAATCCAATCACTTTCCAAAGCTTGCTGCCTCAACCTCCACAACATCTCCAAAATATGTCCCTTCCTAACCAGCGACACCACAAAACTCATAATCCACTCCCTGGTTATCTCATCACGACTACTGCAACTCCCTCTTCAATGGCTTACCTTTACATGGGCTATCCCCCATTCAGTCCATCATGATTGCTGCTGCTAGACTCATCCACTTTACCAACCGTTCATTGTCTGCTACCCCTCTCTGCAATTCCTTTCATAGCTGTCACTCACCCAGTGAATTAAATTCAAAATACTAACAACTTTCAAAGCCATCCAAAACTCTGCTGCCATCTACATCACTAACCTGGTCTCATAATACCAACCTTATCATTCTCTTCATTCCTCCCAAAACCTTCTGCTCTCTAGCTGCCTTGTCACCTCTTCCCATGCTCGCCTCAAGCACCTCTCCCAAGCCTCTCCCATCCTATGGAATTCCCTACCCCAATCTGTCCGACTATCTCCTACTCTGTCCACTTATAGGCGATCCCTGAAAACGTTTCTCTTCAGAGAAGCCTATCCTGCCTCCGCCTAACAGCTGTACTCTTATTTTCGCCATCAGCTCATCCCCCAGTTATTACCTTTTGTATCACTTGACCCACCCTTTTAGATTGTAAGCTCTAATGAGCAGGGCCCTCTGATTCCTATGTTTGAAATTCGATTGTAACTCTACTGTCTGCCCTCATGTTGTAAAGCACTGAACAAACTGTTGGTGCTATATAAATGCTGTATAATAATAATGATAATAAACACATTGACCAAATTAGACCTGCGTTCAGAGACATAAAAAAGCACAATTATATAGCATTCATTTAAAGTATGTTAATTTTTAATTTTTGTTTTTCATTTTGAGCAGCAAAGTACCTTCACTGTTGCTTAAAATCATTTTTCAGCAGGTAAGAGCTGATCAATCAAAGCTCTGTGTGTTTGGGGCGCACGGGGGAGGCACTGCTGGAATTAACTGAATTGTCGACTTCTGTACATAACACAAATTTCACTTTTTTTGTTACAGGTGCAAAACTTCTTAATATTTTTTATCTTCTAAACAGTGCATGTAGATTGAAATAGATTGAATGTGCAAAGCCCTTGACTGTTCAGTACTGTACAAAAATACAACCTGTACACCTGGAATCACCAGCCTATTGTTTGAAGGAAAAGGCGCTGCTCTGTAAAGCCCTGGAGCCAGTGTGCATTCCAAACAACAGCAATTATATCACACCCAGAAAGTCCCACAGGAAGCTTCCTGATGATGTCTGGATGTGAGAAGAGAGGTGGGACTTCCTGGTTGTGCCGTCATTTCCACTGTTTGGAACGTTTCCTGGCTCCAGGGCTTTAAGGAGCAGTGGCGTTTCCTACAAATAGAACACTGGCCATTGTGGGTACTGGAGGGGCACCAAGAATGTGAGTGCAGTATTTTATGTATGGGCAATGCTTTTTAATAAATATGCAGTGAGTGCAGTATTTTATGTATGGGCAATGCTTTTTAATAAATATATGGTGCACTATGATGTCCCTCCTGGTCTGACTCCCTCTTTGAGTATCATATGAGGATGTACTTGGCATATTTGTTCCTGTGACCTGCTGGAAACTGATCTGTGAACAGCTGAGCAATCGGGTATTTTTGTATTGATCTACCATTGGAGCTTTCTTATACAGGCGTATGCAGACCCACTTATGTTGCATGGAGGGTAGATGGGTGTACTTTTTATGGACACCTTGGGAGCACACTGTGTTGACCAATAGAGGTGGTGAAGAAGTGGCACAGTATTACATCAGCAGAGATGAGCTTTGTTCCACTTTATTTAGATTGAACTGGCACTTTTTTGCACTAATTACATATTTCAGCACTTTATGATCTTTTATTGCACATGTAAGATATTGTGTTTGTATATAGTCTTTGTGGCATGGTTGCACTTTTATACAGACTTTATATTTTTTGCTAATCTTTTGATACCTAATAATTATTGTTCACGTTATATAATATTTAGTTTTAGCCATGCACCACTTGATTTTTATAGAATTTGTCAATATCGGTGTACAGGGGGGTGCACATTTTAAAGCAGCGGCTAGGTAGATAGGTTTATAGCTTTCTCAATCATTAATTTATATCATTTTGTAAAATAGGTTTCTAGGTATAGTGCAGGTGTTCTAGTAAGCTATTTTCAGTACATAGCCTAGCGGAATTACCTGCACACATTAGGTGCTTATGAAAGACCTGCATTTGGGTATGTTTTTAACTAATTTCTCTGCACAGTCATCAGTGGATCATATTAGGCATTGTAAAAGCAAAAAAAGAGTTTTCTTTTAGGACTAAATATATCTTTCTGACACTTACAAGCAGAACATATTATATTGCATCATGCTCAAGGTTTATACACATGAGAGCTTTCACTACACATCGGGAATGCCCTTGAGAGTCAGCATTAAAAAAAACAAACATTCATTGGTAAGAGATAGGCCTGTTCAGATCAGCTAGGTTTAGGTAATGTAAACTTAAGCTTCAGTGCCCTCTGCTGTTCAAATGAGGGTGGTACAAAGAAAAGAATTGTCACAATTAAGGTTTCCATTTCTATGTGTGCGATTCCTTGTAGCACAAAACTGACAAGCAGTACATAGAGCAGTCACTAAAGCTGCTAATCTAGCATTAAGCCCGACAAACAGCAAGTGTAGGCCTGTACTTTCCAGTTATCCTTATACATCCACAGCTGTGTACTGTATAAGATAGGAAAACATCTGTGCAAAGGGGCAACCAAAGACTGGTGATAAAAATAGAAGGAAACTTTTTTTTGGACTTTGTAAACCTTTATCATTACAGTAAATAGAAAAATGACCATCATGAGATGGGAGCATGTGTATTTAGCTGCTAAAGATTAATCAACCCCCACCCCTAAAATCAATCACCCTGGATTTATGCAGCTACATGATAGTTTTAATACATTTAAAAAAAATGTCCTGATGTGAAATACTTACTTAAGAGGGGAAGGTAAAAGAACAATGCATTCAGCCTTGCAAACTGACCTGCAAATGGAAAACAGTAGAGTGTTACTATCCACTTGTTTCCATTAACCATGGTGGGATTTGAAATGGGAAAAAGAGGTGTTGCTCATATTAGTCAAATGAAATCAATTCTGGCCACCTGACTGATTGTTAAGAGCAACACCTCTAGGACCCCAATCCTGTTTTTACTACCAAACCGAGCTAGAGCATTTCCTGACTACAGAAAAAATCAGAATGTAATGACAAATATGAATTGTTGGATGTTTAGGTTCCATGCACACTGGGCGTATAAATAACCCTGGTAACGTTAGCTGTGTAAAGTCACGTTAAAAACTTGAGTTTTTCAGCATTTTTGTATTAGCGTTTAGCAGCGCTTTTTCGTGTTTGCATTTTTTCAAGGTTTTTTTTTTTACCACAAACAAAAAATATTTTCTTTGGTCAAAAAAAGTTCAAAAACACTGGTTTGCCACAATTTACCGCATTTTATCATGTTTTGCACCATTAGAGCGGTTTTACAGCTAAAAAGTTCTCTAGAAACTCACTAGTTCTTTGTTTTTTTTCCAACCAAAAAACGCCCCTGCCAAAAAACGTTGATTACAGTCTATGTGTGCATCAACACATAGGATAACATGCTGGGGAGTTTACTGGCTGTAGAAAAAAGCCACAAACAGCAGCTGTAGAAAGGTCTAGTGTGCATGAGGACTTAGATGGGGGGCATATATTACTTTGTACTGTCAAGTTTATTAGTCACAGTCATAACAATAGCACTGTCACTGAAAACGTACAATTTGCAGCAGCTTTCTAAGAAATACAATGCTTAGCACAGACATTTCCAGATTTCTATGAAGTGTCATATCTACTGTTATATTTGTCCATAAAGTCTCAAAAAAGAATAGGCCTTAAGTATCAAAGCGTCTGAAGAAATTGGTGTCATTATTGCTAAACAGTCCAGATCAAATGATCCCTTTTATTTTCCAACTGTCACTCTTCCAGAGTTGAATTAATTATGTTCTAGAGGGCTGTGCACACAGACACTTTGATAAATGAGGAACAGTATAAATTTGTTTCAGAGTTAAGACTATATAGTCTACCAGGCCAATGGATGGGATCTAATTCTTTACCTGGTAAGCTTCATCCTGTAACTTCTGTTTCAGATACTCTTCCATTTTCAGCTCATTTTCTAGTTGGCGTACAGAGTCATTCTCATAGGTTTCATCATCCTCCTGCCTTTATATGGGTCTTCAGTCCCCCTTCAAAGAGGCACAAGGACTCAGAAAGACTCTAATACAGCTATGTTATAAAGGCAACTATAGATAAATATCAGGCAGCTCAGAGTATTTAACATGCAGGTATCTAACTGTTGCATTATCCCTACAGGGGTGTCACATCTATCCTTTTGTATGAGGCCAGTATAAAGTAATTTTTCCGAAGATACCATTCCTTTTACAACAATAGGAAAAAGAGTAGGAGACTCCCTTAGTCCATGCATTGCATTTTTTAGTTTTTCAGAAGCCTTATATGACTGAAATAAACATAAAAACAAGTATAATTCAGCTCATAAATCAGCATTATTGACTCATAAGCATACATACATGTCAGCACGAATGTTGCCAGTAGCAGAATTATTATGGTTATATGCTGGTTTTCTGGCATGGATCTGGGCAAGGAAGGCTTTCTCTGAAGTTGGGGATGGAACCAAATCATCAAAGTGAACCCTTCCATAGTCTGTCTCCACGCTGCCTTCTCCCTCATTCCCCACATCTAGAAAAGTAGAGAAAGACACAGTCTAATATTTCCATGAAAAGACATTGAAAGGAAACCTCATTTGCTAAAACAAAAGTGTAATGATATAGAATTCTAAAATACTCAAACCATTTTTTAACTGAAAAAAAAAATAATATTCCATTTCTGCAGCCATTGTAAATTTCTCAAACTGTCAACATTTAATATTTCACTTCTTTGCCATATGGCAATTTGAGGGGTTTTATATATTGTATATGTACAAAATTCCCTGAGATATTTCCTGTTTGTGTGACTGGCTACCTGCTCTACAAGTCATTGTACAGACACTATTTTTTCTAATGCAAGTCTGTTTCTTGCCTAAAAGGATGTTGTAACAAAAGTCTATAATCCTACTGCTGCCTTCAAAATGTGTAGATTACCACTCAATTCACCATGAACTTAGATTTTCCTGCTTGCAGGGCAACAATCTACGATCCAGCAGACAGAATGACTATGACAGGGGAGGATTAACAGAGAGGAGAGCGCAGCTGTGCCATAACAGTGGAAAGGTTATATATGGTGACAGATGTTTTACCACATTGTAAACTGTCTGTCACTGCAGGGGCACACACGAAGCAATGATTTCCTATGTGTCCTATACACACTGCAATGTAGCGTAGTGCTGTGCTGCAGCAAGCTGTGGTAAAATACAGACATGCTGCATTTTATCTCAGCATACCAGGTCAATCGCACTGCAATGTCGGGCAGCGCATCACAACGCAGATGAGCTGGAGTGGTGAATCGCTCTGGCTGCTCTTCAATTTAACGGCTTTATAGTGTGAATTCATCCATAGTCTTTGCAGAGATGTTGGTAGGTAATACATAAATCAAGGCAGAGTTAGCAAATACATTTAAAGTCTATAGCCCCTGGACGTCATGTCTTTTACTGATGCAGTCAGGATGCTTTTTGTCCAGGTGGTCACAAAGTCTCCCCCAATGTGAGGTGGGCATGAAAGAGTTGGGAGTCTAAGGTTAGTGATGGAACTAAATTGTGAACCTGGATGTCTGGGAGAAACTAAAGGAACCTTCTTTTATTTCAGAGGTAGGAGATTTTTCAGCCTGAAGTGTATATTTCTATTTCTGGGGCAAAATGGTACTCTTCCCTTCCATGACATCCTTGATAAGCCTATCAAGGGAGGTACCAAAGAGATGATCTCTATCATTGCATTGTTGCTTAGCAAACCAACATTTTAGCCAAATAGTCCTTCACATGTGCACAAACAGGAGACTCATTCTGATGAGGCATAAGATATTCAAGCCAATCAGCACAATAGTTTAAGGCAGCCTTTCTCAACCAGGGTGCCTTCAGGCCTTTTCAGGGGTGCCTTGGCAATATGCTTAAAAACGGCCCACAAATTGTATACAAGCCAGCAGGTGGATAAAGCCTGCCTTTTATTTACACAAAGCTACAGGTTTTCATTGCGCACTTTTACAACCTGCCAGCTGCTGGTATCCTAACAACCAATTACATCATTAGTTGATATGTAGGACATCGGACAGACGTCAGGGGCCTGCACAGCATTCTTGTTTGCCCTTCCCGTGCTGGGGTCACATTAGCTGAGTGAGGGAGAGAAACTAAGGGAGAACACTGGTATACTAGTCAGTACCAGTTTGCAAAGGAATATTTGCTTTGGAAGAATAAATCACCTCTAATGTTGGGTATCCTACATGTGTGGATGTTGCTGCATTATGTAAAACTATAAGAATAGATACCGTATACCCTTGGTCCATACCCTTGATATCTTGCAGACTGACATGACAGCAATGGCCGGTTGCAAGTCATGGCCTGTTAGGAAGAACAGGGACTTAAAAAGGGTTTCCAGTCTCTTGTAAAATGGATTCTTAAACACTGGAATGTTTTGACAGGTTGAGAACTTGTAAGGGAGCCAGACTGGTAACTCAAGGAAATTCAGAAGAATGATGCTCTATTTCCGGACATTTGGAACACTTGGACCAATGTAACAATGTACTGTATAAGACATACCAACCTGGCTGATGCCATTGGATGATGGAAATTACTGAAGTAGACACCACTACTCCAATGATCTCCACTTGTTTCCGGGTCCCATGCTGAATAGCTGGCCTGATGCCTTGTGAATACAGGAGGTCAGCCACTGAGCATGGACACCATTCAAAGAATGCTTTACATTTTCTGAATGAATGCAAAGGCTTCTCTGATTGGACGAAGTGGACAGTGTAACATCACTATCCGCCCACTCCGCATAGTTCTGAGAATGCAAATCATTCTCCAAATGGCCTCTGTGCTGAGCAGCTGACCGTCTGTGTTCACAATGCAGTGGAGCAGCCCCAAAAACTTACCGCATTGGTGGTGTGTAGAACGCCCATCAAACACAGTACTGGAGTATTGGAGAGGGCTAATGCAGAACCTAGCGAAGCATATCACATTCCACACAGTTTTTGCCCCTCAGATAGGCATCCTCCCAAGGAAGTCTTCAGTGAAATGGTTACACTAGTGGGTATATCATGACCCTGGACCTACAGTATAAATCACTATTCGGCTAACACAGTGCACCATGTATCTGACAAGCGTTACAAGCAGAGCTAAATGTCCAAAGGTCACGTTATAGGCAGATTCTGAAATCTTCAAAATGACTTAGTTTGTACATGACTTAGTATACCCTCCTAAGCCAGGGGTCATCAAACTTTCTAAACAAAGGGCCAGTTTACTGTCCTTCAGACTAAGAGGGCCAGACTGTGGCCAATGGGAGTAGAAATTGTTCTGGCATCAGTGGGAGTAAACAGTACATCTTTGGTAGTAGAGAGAGGAATAGTGCCCCATTGTTGGTGTCAGTAGCAGGACTCATGTCCCATTGTTGGGGGAGGAATAGTGTTTTGTATCAGTGGGAGGAAGAATGCCTCAAGAGCGGGATAGAAGCAAGTAAAGGGCTGCATTAGACCCTGACCCACAGTTTAGAGACCACTGTCCTAGGTTATGCTGAGGATCATCTAATCCAAAAAACTGTCCTCATGGCTCAGACATTAAAGAATTCTGACTCAAGAAAAATATCTTTATGAAAAAGAAACATTTCAGACAAAATGGGTTTGCTTTTCTCTGAGGAGAAAAAAACACCCCATTCTCCTAAGACACTAGCAAGAAAATGGAGAACAACGGGAGTGGGAGGGGTTATATCGGGCTGCCCAACAGCTTTTTTTGTTTGCCTGTGTCCAACCTCCGGTATGCAGAAATGAGAGCCAGCTGTCTCAGGATTTCTTCTGACCCTGTGTCCTTTAATTATTGGACTAAAAGTGAAAAGTGCTCAACAAGGTTTGCCTGGTTTTGAGTTGCTGTGCAGAGTAAAATACTATAGTATTTCATAGTCACTGGATCGAGAATTGACTCTTAGCAATGCTTCGTAATTTTGGTGCAAAATTGAAAGCTCCAGCTGCCAATAGCAGCAAGTTTTTGTTGACCCAAACTTTGGAGGGTGTCAGTGAGACAACCTCCATCCAATCAAAGGGGTGTGATGTAGCCATGCTGCAGCATTTATTATATTTTTCAAATATTTTAGACACTCTGTCAATGTCAGTTTTTCTAATTATATACACATTTCCAGATGACAAGGTTTTACCATCTGATAACTAACATATTTAATGAAATCACAATTTGATGGACATCAGACATGATATATAGTTTATGCATATTCTTCTTGAGAGATTTAATGTGTACCATATGCCCTCTGGACATCATAGTATAGGAATGTTTGGTATCAAATGGACTTTTATTCTCTCATACATTTGTGCAATCTGTGTAAACCATTGTTATTACTGTATCATATCAATAATGTTAAAAATATTTGAAACCTAAATCTGTGTGGTTCAAAAATAGACTCACAGGTGTGTACTGTAAAATCATACCAGACAGGCATTTTACAATATGCTTCTATTAAACGAATTTGACCTAATGGAGGTTAACAGATCCAGCTAATGGAGCTTAATGACACTCAGCCTGTGTCCTGTCAAAAATGCTGTAAACTGGAATGCATTATTTTATCAAGTGTGTTAAATCTCATGAATGCCTAGTATAGACAAGATATTAAAATCTGACAATTTTCGTAGACCTCCTTATTCGCACAGATGTAGATAAGGAAGATTCCCTTATTACCACACTGAAGATGATGATAATAAAGAATGACCTCTGCATTCAGAAATAGGTTTTGGAAAGGACATAAGAAGTCAAGCATGAATTACTTCAGAAGAGAGAAGGGTATCACTCTTTAAAAAAGCTTGCTAAGATTCTTGCACTGTGTCTATAGCTCATCCTCAAATACATTGCTTTATTAACAAAACTGAAGTTTTCCTTCAATAGACAACCAAAGCGTCCAGATACAATCAGTTTGTGTATCTTGATAATAAGCTCACAAATCGCATAGATAAAGCATTGCAATTGAGTTATTAGCCATTATTTCTGTGTTTTCCCCTTATTTAGGTACCTTTCAGGCCCAGGTAGGAAATGAAACCAGGAACCAAATGCCATAGAAAATCTATGAATATATAAATGTAATAATACTATTGCTGTCACCTTAAAGCGTACTTCATGACAAAATTAAAAACAAAACAGGCGTATGAAAAACCTACATATTTCACCATGTCCCATTCCTATAACCCTTTTGCTGCCAAAACAGTTTTATTTTTCAATTTTATTTTGGCATACATGTTAAAATGAACATTTTAGGCCTGAAATTATTTAAAACCCCCAAAATAAACAGTATATTTTATGAACGCTGAGACCCTGTAGAATAAAATGGTTGCAGTTGGCTTGATATTTATGTTACTGGTCATCAAATTTATATTTTCAGTAAAATATACACTCAAATTAATTTTAGAGCACACAGTATAATACCCTTTTCTTTTGAACATAAAAGATGAGGTTGCATTGAGCTGACAGATACCAAATACTTTATATGTTAAGCCTCAAAACTGTGCGTGCCTGAGAAATGGCAAAATTCGAAATCCATGAT